GGAATGAGATGGGCTTTAAGGTCCCTTCCAACCCAAACCCCTCTGTGATTGTATGAATTAGTTTCCTCTAGCGGGTTCCCACAGCCATGTCACCTTGTCACTGTCGTTCAGTTGGGAGGGAGAGAAAATCTGCTGTGCTGGGTTTTGGGATCAGTCTTTAAAACGATCCATAACTCATGTTTTTTAACACTTTCCTTCAGAGCAGCTGGTGTGCCTGAATTGAGAAGTAGTTGTGAAGTTTTGTAAGATCACATTCATTAAAGTTTGGTGGGTTTGGGGGCAGGATGGGGCACAGGGAGCCACAAGCTGCATCGTGGGGCAGAGAACTGTTGGACTCTCTCCAGTGCTGGATGATCCACATTTTCCCAAGTCAGGCACATGCCTGAAAGCCTGTTTTTTTTGTCTGCACAGAGGTTTTTCTGAAAGCAGGAGAAGTTTGTGTTGGAAACAATTTCCTGATGCAATTTGGATTTCCTTCCGAATAATCCTTTGCCCCAGTGGGATGGTACAGAGGGATTCTAGAAAAGCTTAACTGGCCTCACCATGAGTTAAACACATCCCTTAGTCTTTGCATGACAGATGTTCAGGTAGGAAAATACCCTGCAGGGACTGTTAGAAAATATTTGAAGGGTCAGGAGGAGAAAGAGCCTCTCTGCCAACGTGGGGGTTGAGTCCACGTCTCTGTCCCTGTGGCTGGTGTGCAGAGATCTGTGAGGGATGAGCAGAGGGAATCAGTCTCAGCTGGGTGGAGGAGCAGGACTCAGAGGAAGAATTTAATTGCAGGAAACCATTTGTAAATGCTGAAGGCACAACCTTAACGTTGTTCCATCTCTTGCAGGAATGCTGGTGGTGATCGTGCTGCTGCTCATCGCCATCGTCGTGGTCGCTGTCTGGCCAATTAACTAACACAGATCCAGGGCTGGTGGGAGCAGCTGCTCCACACCGAGCACAAGGACTCCAGAGAACAGCCTGACTGTGTGCAGAGACCTTCTGTGTTGGAAATAACCTCAGCAGTACCAGACCGAAGCCGTGTCCGCCAGACATCCGCTCTCCTTCGGCGCGCAGCTGAGCAGAGCTGTGTGATTTGGAGGATTTCAACGGGAAAAGGGCTCTCTTCCCACCTTCCTCTGGCACTCAGGCAGCAGCAGCTGTACAGTGGATACATCTCTCCTGCATCTGTGTCTGAGGATGTGCTGGTGCCACCTGCCCACCTGCCACCACTTCTGCTGAGCTCAGTCGTCCCGAGGGCTTTAAAATACTGAAAGGCAGGAGTGGTTTGGAGTGCTGTGACATTCCTCTGCTTCCTGATACCTTCCTTCAGAAGGAAAATGCTTAACGTTTTTCAAGGAATAGTCTTGGGGAATGGCTGCACCTGGTTTCTCACAGGGTGGAATGTGAGAGCCCACAGAGCCCTTTGGGAGGGGCAGGACCCCCATGGGCTGCACGGAATCGCTGGTGAGTCAGACCAGAGTTACTGGGGAGTTATTGATCTCCACAGAGAGAAAGGTGAACAGCAGCAGGACTCACACCAGGCATGTGAGGGTGGAGAGCCTTGCCCTGGTGTCCTCCCCACAGGCTCTGCCAGGCTGACCATGGGAGATGTACCATCACTAATGTCCTGATCTCGGTGATCGAGCTCTGCCTCTTCCTTTATAACTTCTTACACGCTGCTAAAGCTGAGAGGAAGGATTACCCATCTCAAAACTAATGAAAAAGAAGTACTGAATGTTTGCTTCTGGCCAAGAAAATAATTATTTTGTTACACGTGTCAGTTTGATTTCAGCATTAATAGAGCAAGCAATAAATACTGAATAAAAGCTGATCCATTTATTTACAGTTTATCTGCCTGGGGTTTTATTGTTTCCTGCCATCTCATGCTGTCCATGAATGATTTATCCAACACTTACATTTCCTAAGTGCTGATTTGCAGAAGGAAATAAGCAATTTCTGTCAGACTTGACGTTTATTGTGAAGGTCTGTGAGAGTTGCCAGCCCTGGGCTCGTCCCCACCTGCCCTGGTGGAGTGTCTTCCTTCACAGCTCTCAGCTGGCTCTCGGCACTCCTGTCCCTCTCCCTGCCTTCCACCCACACAGCTGGGGTGGGGGTGCTGCTCTGGGAGGAGGGAAGCCAGGGTGTCCTGGTGCTGTGTCCCCTGTTGAGGGACATCAAGTTATTTTGCTCTTCTGGGTTCAGTTTCCCCATCTTAGTTGGGGCTTGGGCAGAGGCCCCTTCATTAAGGGCTTTGTGCCCTGAGGTGACCTCCAGCCATCTCCTTGCAGTGGGCAGGTGTTGGCTGGAGCTGAGGCTTTGACTCCATCACTCCAGGACCTGAGCTGGGAATGACAGAGGTGGCTGTGCTGGGAGAAGATGGAGTTTTGCAGGAAACAGAGGCAGGGATCTGTTGGGTACCCCATGGAATACAGAGAATCATAGAATGGTTTGGATTGGAAGGAACCTTAAAGAACACCTTAAAGACCATGGGCAGGGACACCTTCCGCTAACCCAGGTTGCTCCAAGCCCCCTCCAGCCTGGCCTTGGACACTTCCAGGGATGGGGCAGCTTCTCTCAATACCTGTCATTGATAGTATCGTGTCCTACAATCGGAGGAACTGTGCCCTGGAGCTGGAGAGCAGCATTTCCTTGTCTTTGTGTGCCTGGTTATTGCACAGGGTAGGTGGAGAGAGGAGCTTGGTGAAGAAAAAGGCCAGTAGATCCAGCTGTGCCTCGTGGCTTGGGCAGCAGCTTCAAACAGGGCTGTGCTGACACCCAACCCATACTCAGTGCTTGGCACCAAAGGTCAGAGCTGGAGGAGGGACCAGTTCCACAAGTGCTTTGCTGTAGATTATCCTTGAAGCCTTTAAAAGTCCAATCCAGGTTGTGCCTGCTTGCTTTTCCTTAGAGATGCTTTGTCTTGCAGCCTTCAGAGGAGGGGAGGGGGAAAAAAAAGCGAGTTTAATGTTCTTGTGGTTTTCAAGAGGACGCGGCAGGGGTTTGATTAGTTTATTGCTGGATGTCAGATTAGGAACGGAGCTCTAAGCAGGGCTGCTCCAGCTGGAAACGAGTAACGGGCGGCTTTGGAGACATGTTCCAAATTTGTGCATTCCTGCAGCTCTGCAGAGGGACTGACACTGGAAATGCTCCTGGAGTTGTTCCTCAGCAGCAGCCTGTGCCCCAGCCCTGAGTGGGATTTCACTCACGGAACAGCCCAGTGGATCTTCAGCGCCAGCAGCAGAACAACACGTGGTTTGTTGGGATGAGACCACGGGCTTGGGCTTCTAATTAGAACTGTCATTTACAGAGGGAATGAAGGTTTTGTTTGAATTCCCAGGACATGCAGGACGGACGTGTAACTCATCCCGATCAACGTTACATTGTGACTTTGTTCTGGTGGAGCCTTTAAAAGGCGGTTTCTGACCCACTGGGTCCTCAGGCACATTTTTCCTGTTGGGTGGAAACACGAGGATTTGCTCTCCGAGATGTCGAACAAAGGGGTTCTCAGACTTGCCCTTTAGGTAACATTTAATGTGTTGTGTGGGTGAGGAATTTTATTAAAAAGCAGCAGATTTGGCAGCGTTCTGCTGTGAGGAGGAAAGCTGTGCTGTCTCCCTGCCCCACTAAAGAAAAGGGAAGGTTAAAATACGAGAGAGCTGCTGTTTTTTGGCTCTGAGCAGCAGGGTTGGAGAAGCCAACCTGCAGTGGCTTCTCCAAGCAAAGGTCTTCCTGGAATGTGCCCGGAGAGACACATTCCCTTTGCCTTCCCTTCCACTCCTCCCTTTCTCTCTTGGACGACGTGCTCAGGACTTCAGTCGCTTCCAGTTGTTATTTTATCAAAAATACAAGTGCTGGGGGAAGGCCTGGTACGTGCTACACACACTTGGATGTCACAGTGCTCTGAGTAAAACGTCCCCAACTCCTCTGTGAGGACAGAGGTGACCTTGGGAGGCTGCTGGGCATTTTCACATGCTCTCATTTCTGGTGTGAGCTCAGTGCTGAGCTCAGGGCATGGATGGCTGGTCTCCCACGCTGCCTGGTGGGACCAGGCTGGGAGAACTGCTCTGGGTCTGGCCCTCAGTGGGAATAGGCTCATCCCCCTCTTTCCAGAGCCACCGTGTCACCTTTGGATGACTGGGCCACCTGCCTGGAGCCAGAGCAATGTGGGAAACCCATTTGCTCCTCAGCGGAGCCACAGGCGATGGCCCCGGAGCAGAGGGGGTGTCACTTGTGGCCCATTTGTCTGTGCAATAAAGATCTGAGATTTCTGACCTCCGAGATGTTTTTAGATCCATAAATTACCAGTGATGCCGGGGGCAGGGTCAGGGGTCTGACCCCTCGGCAGTTTGCAGGACCTTTTGCCTGTATTTTTCTCCCTGGAAGTGTTTTGCTGCCTCAGTTCCCCCCTCCTCCAGGTTTCCATCCCGTTGGTGCCACCAGCCCTGGCCTGGGCTCGGGTGCAGCAGCAGCACTGGCCCCACTGGTGCCCCGTGGGTGATGGGTGGTGGAGCTGATGCACAGGATGAGCAGGAGGGGACAGTGCTGGTGAGCAGCCTGGGCACGGCACAGAAATAGGTCTGGAGTGGGGTTGGCAGCTCCCCTGAGCCCAGACTCTGGATCTGCCCTGTCCCCTCACCTGTCCCCCAGCTCTGTATGGGGTCCCACAGGTTTTGGCAGGCCCTGGCTCTGTCTCACTGCAGGGCTCAGTCTCCTCTGGCAGGTGCTGGGAGGGGCCCCCCATCCCACCCCTCACGTCTCCCATGGTGACCCACTGTCCCCAGGGGCAGAGAGCAGTGCCAGGGGGATATCTGGGGGACGTGGCTGGGACTGGCAGTCAAAAATAGCTGTGCTACCTCAACCCTCAAGGGGACAATGTCCCTCAAGGGGACAATGGCAGACCCAGGGAGGCAGAGGGGACACCGTCACTTCCCCGTCCCTTGCCAGCCTGAGGGGTGGGAGGAAGCAGAGATCCACGCAGATTTTTACAGTTTACAAGAGTTTATTCAACTGGTTTCTGACTTTAGTTCTACCGAGTGGGTGCTGAACAGTTACAAGCTCCTTCAGGTAAATTACAGCCAATCTAACAAACAAACAAACAAAGAGGGGGGAAAAAAATAAAAACGAAAGAAAAAAAATAAAAAGGAACAACTGGGAAAACAATAAGAAAATCCACAACTTTTTCACGTGTCATTAAATATATTCATATATAATAACCATAATATATTAGTATGCATTGTAAAGAAACATCGCCCAAAGCAGTCTGCCATGGTCATAACTAAACAACATTTACAGTTCAAGATATTAACAGAAATAATAAAAAAAAAAAAAATCGACAAAAACAATTGAACCCCAGAACAACACAGGTTTTGTGAGGGGACGAGGGGGGTGTGCGGGGAGAGGGCACGGACACGACGAGACGAACAGAAACGAGACGAAGCGACTTTTGTCGGGTGCTACCGTCGGTGATGATTGTTTTGGCATTTCAGCTGCTCTCCAAAGCCCTGCTGGAGGCACCACAGCCCCTTCCCTGGTCACCCCCACTGCCCTCCCGGCCCCTGTCCTGTCCCCAGGGCCGTGGGGGGTTCTTTGCTGGTCGTGGTGCAGTTGGTTCCCCTCAGAGCTGCACCCCCGGCCGTGCAGGGCATGTTTAGGGGGGCATCTTGTCCCTCTTTGGGTGACTGGACAGAGGTGTCCCCCTAGGAGATGTCCTGGAGCAGGGGGTGGCTGCAGGGAAGTGCTGCATCCCTGGGCACCCCGAAAATGGGTGTGGGGGAGGCTGTGTGCCAGTTCCACCAGCAGCTCCTGCGGGTCAGGGCTACTGGGAGCGCATGAGGGGCACTGGGGGACTGTGCACGGAGTGAAGGGGTTTCCCTGGTCTGGTTGGAAATGCAAAACTCCAGCAGGGATGATGGGACAGTGTCCTGGTGGGACAGGGATGGGGACTTCACCCCCGTGGGATCTGAGCTGTTCCATGTCCTGTGCGAACTCCTTTCCTTCAGATTTCCCAGGTTGTGTCGGTGCCTGGAGGGGTCTGGCCATGGCATGGAGTGGGTGGTGGTTCTTCTGCAGCCTCTGAGACCAGTGGGAGCAGGGAAGGGGCTGGGTGGTGTCCCTGGGTCAAGGCTGTGCTGGGGAGGGTGGCTGTGCTTGACAAGGCTGGAAAATGGGAGTCCAGGTGTGCTCAGTGGGCAGTTCCCAAGTCCTCATGTCCCCTGGCCTTGCCTTCCTGCACTCCAAGTGAACTGGCTTTGGGTTGGATCCCGTTGGTTTTAGGCCATTTGAAGGTCTCCTGTGGTTCAAGACATCCCAAATAACCAAGGACATGCTGTCTCCAGCTGGTGGGGTGTCCCTGGCATCAGCTGACGTTGGCTGCAGGAGAGCATCCAACCCCCACTTTGGGGCTTTAAGTCTCCATTTAGACACTTGAGGTCAGATTTTGTTCCTCAAAACTTGGTGGCTTGGGTTCCCTGGGTTGCAAAACTGTCACCTCTCCTTGAGCTCTGAGATGAGAAAAACCAAGTCCACTCTGGGAAAGGCGAGAAAACACAGACTGGAGGGGGATTTGCTTGATGTCCAGGGTGGGATTTTTCTCCTAATACCCGGGCTAATTTTGGAGGGCCTTGTGGTGGCAGGGGGAGGCTCAGCAGAGCTTGCTCCCTCCGGGTGGTGTCTCCAGCAGCCCAGTGCTGGCTGGAGCTTCCCTGGGAGCCTCCACTTTGCACCTATTTACATGGCTGCCTCGCTTTATGGTGGTTTATGTCATTATATAAATATTGTCAATTGCTATAAAACAAGGCAAAACCACTGGAAAATGTCATAAAATAGATGTTTCCAAGTTTCCTAAAAGGAAAAATATCAGGGAGGTTTTGCTTTTCATAGCGACTAATGTTTGCTTCTCCTCCAGGTACCCGTCCTGCCCTCCCTGCCTTTCCTGTCTCCCTGGATGAGGTGAACTCGGATATCCCCATTCCTCACGGGCTGGTGTGGCAGGGGAGCAGCCTGGCACGGGGGTGCAGTGCCTGGGTGACAGCTCAACAGCCAGTCCTGCCCTCAGGATGCAGGTTGGAGGTGAGGCAGCCCCTACCTGGCTTAGTTGTGTTTGTGATTTGAAACTGGGAAATTTAAATTCGGAGTTTTCACCCCCAGCAGAAGGAGGAGAACAGTTTGGGGAGCTCCAGGTGGGTTACACCTTGTTCATCCAGTCCCTTCCCTCGGGCAGGTCTCTGCCCTGCACGGGCTCCACCTCAGCCAAGCCTTAGAGCTCTACCCTGGCCCCACAGGGACAGTCCCTGGCACTCACTGCCCCACCTCCTTTGTCTCCAGGGAAGTGGCCACCTTATGCAGGGATGCCAGGGAGCTCCAGAGGGAGTGAGGGCAGAGCTGGTGTGGATTTGGGAGAGCTGCCTGAGCTCGGGAGTGAAACCAGTGGCCAGCCAGGACCTGGGTGTCATCTGCACAGATTTTCTGTCATCTGAGGGTTCATGGTCTGCTGACAGCACAGAGAGGACCGAGCCCATGAAGGAGATCTCAGGGGTGGCCACAGTGGAGACTCAGGGATCTTCTGGAGCACTTCTGGGACTGGATGCTAGTTTTTGGCCGAGTCTGGGTGTTTCCTTGGGGAACCTGGTTAGTAATTCCTTGACTGGGAATCGGTGGCTGGGAGGGCACCCCGTGGGCTCACGCTCCCTCAGTGTGGTGGGGACAGCACTTCTCAGGGCGTGGGGGCTGGAGCGAGGAGTCGCTCCCCGAGTTATGCACATGGGGAAGTTGCCCACCAACAAGGTCCCCTCTTGGCTGTGCCTAAACTGGGCTCAGAGCATCATCACGGCTGGAGACCTCCCCAGGGACCACCCAGCAGTGGTGGTTACGGCTCTGGGGTACCCAAGTCTTCGATAACCCGTCAGTCGATCTCGGATCTGTCCTCGGCGAAAAGTCTCTGTTTAGTTTCCTCTACAACAATTGTCTTGGTCAACCTAAGCTGCGAATACGTATTTTGGGGATGGGGAGTTAATTTCCAGCGTTGCTGTTGATTAGTTTCTTACAGGTCTGATGTTCCCATGCCGTGCTTTGGAAGCAGCAGATGTTGGCAGCTGGAAGGCAGTTTGGTGTCTCTGAGTTCTTCGGCAATGGGGGGCAGGAAGAAGCGTGGGGGGGGCACTGGGTGCCGCACCCACACTCCTCTTGGTTTGTGTCCATGTGCACGGTTGGTTTTGTTGGGTTTAAGTTTTGTTTTCCCCCCGGAACACGAGGTGCAATCCCGACAGCCCCACGGCCGCCATCCCCCTCCTGTCCCCCCAGCCCGCCCCGGCGGCGCGTCCCCGTCACCGGTCCCTGCCCGCCCCAGCTCTACACAAAGCAGCATGCACAGTCAGTCTCTCCCTCCCGCGCCCTCCGTGGCCTTCTCCTCCTTTTAGGCTTTCTTACACTTCCCCTTCTTCTCCCGCTGCTGGAACTTCCTGAGCCGCCGGGCCCACGTATCCCGCCACTGGATCACCAGGCTGGTTTTGTCCGCAATGATGCCGCTCTGGTCAGGAGAGTCCTCGTTGTTGCCCAGCAGCAAATACTTCTTCATGGGCTTGATTTTGGGGCACTTGCACGCTATGTCCTTGGAGTGGATCCACAGGGTCTGGTCTCCGCGCCGTATCCGGTTGCTCCCTTGTTTGTAGACGGAGATGATGTTGACTGTGAACTTCCACCAGTCGGCATTTTTTTCCGCTTTCAGGATGTGGATCTGAACAGCTGGAAAAAAAACAACACACGAGGCAAGAGAGGAAAAGATGTTACCATCTGAGCTGGTGAGAAGAAAATGAATTTCAAGTCTTACCTGAAAGGGCTGTGTGAGGAAGAAGGGTTTTGTCTCCAGAGCCCAGGCTGGGGGCGGACAAGGGTGGTGGGTGCCCCAAAACTGACCCTGTCCCCAGGCCACCCACCACGAGCAAGAGCAGCCAGTTCTGGCATCTGAGGGTCTCAGCAAAGGTTCTAAGGCCACCACAGACTTGGGAGATGCTCTCCAGCTCTGCTGCCACACACAGCCCTTGGTTCCCAGGGAGAATGGATGTGGGAACCCAAGGCCCATGGGGGCTGCAGGAGTGGCTGTAACAGCAAGAACCAGGGCATTCCTTGTGCTGGCAGCCCTGGGAATGACACAGGGCTACCCAGAGCAGTGGCAGGGAGCAGGTTGCTTGTCCTCCTCTGTGTCCTAGGGAGGACCAGCACCTCCCAGGGCGTGGTTGTGAAACAAGCACAGACAGAGCAGCTCCTGGGAATGTTGGTGCAGCAACATCTGCCCCAGCACCTGTGAACTCTTAAAGTGATCAGAAAATCTTAAAAAACCCAGGTGGATTTGTGTACACTGGACCTGTCTTTTCCCTTGAAGCCACAAGCACAGAGAGAATTCAAACCCTGGGACAGCTGGTGCCTCCAGCCTCGGGGGTGGCCCGAGCACAGGGCAGAGCCCCATGCACGAGGTGTTGTAGGGGGCAGGACAGGGAACTGCCTGTTCCCAAACAGTGCTAAAGCCCCAGGCTGCAGTCCTAGGACATGGGATGAATATTCTTTCCCATCCACATGTCCAGAGAGCAGCTCAAGCTTCAGCCAGAGGAACCCTCCAGCCCCTCTGCTCTCCTTTCCTCACTGGATGGGCAACTTGGTGCTTCTGCACCAGGACCCTCAGGCAGCCCCAGGTTTTAAGAGAAGATGAGCCCCAGTCTGGAGCAAAACACTGGGACTGCTCCTTATCTCCAAGCACTTGGAATCTGGAGGTAGGAAAGACCTGTGTGGGGCTCCAGCACATCTGCTCAGGGGCAGTGCAAGGAGGGAGCTCCTCATGAGACCCTGGCCTTGGACCAGGACACTGAGCAGGTTCAGACCTTTGGAGGGATTTGGAAACGAGGAGGATCCCTGGTCAGGTGTTTCCAGGAGATGTTCCTTAGTCAAGGTTGTCCATGTCTTGCTGTGGAAAAAGCCATTGCTGGAAAAGGCACAGAAAAAGGACTGAGGGTGGGGCTCAGTGATCACAAGGAGAGGTCAGTGGCAGTGTCCAACTTTACCTCTGGCTCTGGCAGTCACTGGAGCATCTCTGCAGGTGCTGAATAGCAGCCTTGGGCTTCAAGGGGATAACTTAGTGTGCAGCAGCCTGGCAGAGAACCGGGAGATCACAAACTCCCGAAGGAGGACTGACATGGGAGCACAGCTGTGATCCATAAGCAAGGTGATGATGTTTTCCAAGCCTGTGGCTGATGCTGTGTAACCTCCCCTGTTGCCCTGTGGGCTGAGACAGCCTGGGGAGGGCTCAGCCCTCCAGCACTGCATCTCTTGCTCTTTCCTGAAACACAGCACAGTTCCCACGTGACATTATCCCTGCAGCCACCAGCAGCTGGGCAGGAGTGGTGGCCCAGGGTCCCACCAGGGACAGAGAGGAGAGCTGGCTCAGCCACACTGGGGTGGGAGAGGGCTCTCTACAAGGTTGTCCACAAAGGTGCTGCAGAGCTGGGATGGTGCTGGACACCTGGATGCTCGAAGGGAGGGCTCTGCTCACGAGTGAGTTCAGAAGCCCCTGCAGCCACCATGGTTTTGTCCTGCAGCCCAGGTGGCCCCAATGGTGACTTCTGCCAGCCTTCCTCCTCCTCTTCCTCCTCCTCCTTGGACACCTCGCCCATGCTGGACCACATCCATGTCTCCTGGCCATCCCTACAGGTGCTGCTGTGCCCTCCTCAGGTGACATCCTTGGCTTTAACCCTGACTTGGGTTTAAATCAAAGGGAAGGAAAGAGACCCACATGGGAAAGGGAGCATTTGGCCCCCACAGCACAGTGAGGAAGAGGAGATACAAGCTCCTGCTGCACCAGTGAGCTTCCTCCTGACAGCAGCTCCTCACAGTGCAGGGGTGGCAAATAAGGATGGGAGCTGCAGTCAGCTGGGACTGCATCCTCCAGGGAGTCTGAACACATTCCTCCTCACCAAAAGTCAGCTTCCAGGAAAATATCCTCACCAGGCAGTGACTACCCAGCCCTCCTAGGGTTGCTGACTGTTGCTGACTGTCCCCACCAGCAGAGACAGAGGCAAAATCCCAGGTGGTGACGCCAGCCCTGGCTGGGAGAGCAGGCAGGGGCTCCCTGCAGGCTGGTGCAGCCCAACTATAAAGTGCTTTTTGACTAAATCTTTGAGCTTTTCCCTTTTTCCCACTCTTCCCCTGTGCCCTGGGAGCTATAACCCCCTACCCATCCACCTGCCTGTCTCAGCTGTCTGGCCAGGCCCAAGCAGGGCCAATCCTGCTTCTATAAATTAACAGCAGGAGAAGAAACCCCCCCCCCAAAACCAGGCAAAACTCTCTCATTTGCCTTTTAACAACCCAATTTCCCCCCACCGGGTTAGAGGTGGAGGAGAATCACCCCCTCTATAAAAACACACCATGCCAACTGATCCCAGGCTCTGGGAGGAAGCAGAGCTCTGCAGCCCAGCACAGCTTTTTAACACGTTGCAAAATATATGGGGTATTTTTTTTCAGAGCATGTCATGGAGGCCAGATGCTTTCATTAAAAAAAAAAAAAAAAA